ATCAGAACCCGGTTACCCCAAACATTTTGAAGACAGAAATATAGCTAAAGGCAGTTCTGGCACTGTATTTCTTCTTTGTTTCTACGTTTCACTTGAGAACATCTTATTACAGTGTTTCATCATATGAAACTTTATTTGGTTGTATACATAGCTAGTTTGTTCTAGCTCGATTTTTTTCCTATCAATCATGTTAGGCTTTACTCAAGGCTTGTGCAGGGTTTTCTCTGATCCCACCCCACAGAGCTGTGTGGGACTTTTTTCCTTAAACTGTTAGGCTCTCCCTGCACGCATGCTTGGGACTGTAATTGCACACACACTCAATTCCAGTGTTATCCCTGTAGCATCTTTCAAATCTGTCAACTTTCTAAGTGCTTTCTTTTCATATTGTGATTAGAGTACAGAAGCCTTTAAAATGTTCAACAAAGATGGGTACCATTCTTCTGTTTGCATTCAGAATAAACCACTGTAGTTAAACCATGCCAAGCTGAGTACGTTGTTGACAGTTTTCTGCTGAAGGTCCATACTGCTGGAAGTCGGTGCGCTGAATTCTCTCCTACCTAGGTAGAAAATGATTTTTCATTAACTACTGATCCCTGTGACAAATTTTTCATCTTAAAATCCACTGAGAAGCAGTCATTCTCAAGTTCCACCTTTTCCTCTGACATTGTCATTAGCCACAATTTTCTTCTTTAGAGTTGTGGGTGTTTTTTCAGCTGTAAAGTTTGCTGTTGTAAAATCTCTAATAATGAAGTGCTTCCTGTCTACAACGTGGTGGTGATGATGAACTAGTGGTTACTTTAAGAGGGTTCTAATTGTGTATAAAAGTTTCATGGTCCAAATGATGCCAGAAGTCTTTACTTGATGTTACATACCTTTTCTATTGCCTTTTAAATAATGTATTGGCATCTTACTACAAAATCCAGGGAAAGACATAACTGCAGACTTCAGGAAAACAAACTGTGTCAGCTGGTCCCCCAGTGCTTTAAAAGCTGTTCAGCAGCCTCCCTTGAGACGTTGTTTTAAAGTCTACAATGCACAACTGGTTATGAATTTTACATCTTTTTAGCATTCATGGGTAGACCGTTAATGAGGGAATAAATAGCAGAATTTTATTTAATCCCACACATTGCTTAAATGAATTATTAGGCAAAGAGTACAGAGCCGTTCTTTCCCCTTAAGCAGAGGGACATCTGTGGTGTTCTAGATGCAACATCCCTCCTTCCAGATAGATGACAAGGTCCATCCACAGATATTTGTGGGTGTAATGTGGATCCAAATCCCCATTTAAGTGAAAGGAATAAAACTGGAGGGAAAAACAGAATGATGTTCCCCTCTTCTTCCTCCAGTGTAACTGTTTACATGAAAGCACATAGGCTATCTTGTATCAGTGGAGCCAAATAAATAAATAGTTTGACCAAAGACAGATATTTACTGTGGAATAACTATGCACAGTACATGAAAAGAAATGCTTATTTATTTTCCTTGACATCAGATGCAGACATTCCTACTTGGTCAAAAGAATTCTGCACTTTATACCCAGCCTCTGCACTTAACAGACAATTTATCATTGCTGGGTTGCTGTATCAGTTCTGTCATCCTTACTAGTCTCTCTTATTCAGTGAGACTATTTGCATATTAAAGTATTACTCAGCATGAGTAATGGTGCCATCACTGAGGTTGTGTTGCAAGTAGAGAGAAAAGATGTTTCCAGTAGCACTAAACCTTATCTCAGAAAAATCACTGGAGACTGGCACTTCCCAGAGCTTCTGCTTTCTTTTGATTATCCTCCCTTCTTCCAGTAATTGACTCCAAGCAGTCCAGCTTCTGTTACTTGGTGCAAGAGAATCTCTTTTTCAGAGATTTATTCATGAAGTTGCAAGAAAGTCTGTTCTTAGGTATCAGGTTGTCTGTGTAGGTCACAGGCAGATTTCTGGAGAGTTGAGGGAGTTGGGGTTAATGTCCTGGGATATAAGAGAGTGTAACTGGAGATAATGCAGTGGTGGAGGGACATACATATGAGACACAGAAGAATGAAGAGAGGGGAGAACGAAGTAAGACCAGGACACTTCCCAGAAGTAGGAAGTGGATTTGGAGTCTGTCGAGGATAGACTCAGTTAAAATCTCTTGTGGCCCATCCATGTACTTGAGCTGGACACCCCCTTCTGATTTGAAATGCTTATGTGATGTGTAAAATTATTTAATACCTTCCTGTGAAACTAGAAAAGAAGGAACATGATTTCAATCAAGTGGCATTCAATTTGTATTTGGATTAGTATGACAATTCTACCCTTGGATGAAAAAAGGTAAGGATATTGTGTCACACGTTATGCCCCCTTCTGTGCTCTGTTTGGGACCTCTGCTTCTGGAAATTCTGCAGTATAGTAGCAATCTGGTGCCATTTGGATCTTTCATACTAAACATGGGGCATTTGACTAACTCAACCCCCCAGGGAAGCAAACAGAAGAAGGTGATCAGGACATGAAAAAGAAACCACAGAAACCTAGCTTCTGGGCCCTGTCTTGTGGCCATGAGTTATCTGTGGTCAGATTTTGCTTTAATACTAGCACAAAGATAGAAAATCTAGAAAGTGAGCAGAAGCAAATCACTTAAAGTGAAAGTACACATAGACTCCAAACATTTGCACGCACTACAATTCTAAGTTAAAATACTATTCTCCAAAGTGGAATGTTTATTGAGATAGGAATATATCTGCACCACTGTATGAATCATTGCTCTACAGTTCCTTACTGGCATGTGAGTAATCATCAAGTCTGTGTATATTGTGAATGTACAAGAACAGGTCGGTAAAGGATTGGCTTATATTGGCTGTATTTATTTTAATAGAATTCTTCAGTTCTAATCCACTTAATAATAATGTGTTACTGTACTGTTTAGCCTCCCAGCTTGTTCTAGTTATGCAAATTATGCTTTAGCAGTTTCTTACCTCATTTACATATCCTAACATTCTACCTCCTTGACTACTAAACTTTTTCACTCTACATTGGTTATACCTAAAACATTATTTTCATGTTAAAACAATTGTGCATTCAGCATGGAGCCACAGCAAAAGTAATGAGGTGAGTTTTTCTGGAGTACCGACTAATGTTGAAGGAGTCCAGATTTGTCTCTTTTCCAGCTTCAAAACCCTGTATTTGGTGATGTTGAGCTCAGTACTCAAAAAAAAAAACAAAAAAACCAGACTTCTGTTGTTTTTTTGCTAGCATTTCTGCTCTTTACATGATATTCCTGAATTCATATATTTGTGCAGCCAAAAGGAAGCCTTGCAATCCCCCATCTAGCCTTGAGTCTAAGTCTACCCAGATTAAATACCTATTTGAATTTGAGTCCTTTGAGGGAGAAGGAATCTTAACCCTCTGTAACAAGAGTTCATCACAATCACTGAGAAGCCCTTCCAGCTGTTTCAGTCTTACTACTAAAGTACATTACTATTTCTCAGTTAGAATTTGTCTTGTTTCTCACTGCAATTGGATCTTATTATACCCTTGTCTGCTGGCTTCAAGAGCCCACTACCAAAACGATGCTCCCTTCAGAGGTACTTTAGACTGTGATCAAGTCACTCCAGTAACTTAACAATCCTGAACATCTCAGTCTTTCACAGTAGGGCATATTTTGACTGTAGCAGAATGCAATTACTCTTCTGAACATGAATTTCCTTTCAGAGTCATAAAGCATGGTTAGCTCATAATGATATGATTTAAGTTCAATGTGCATTTCTCTTCTTCTTCTATAACCCGGTCCTTTTCTCAGAAGGGAAAGAAGCCTTTTCCCTTGATAATTTGCATTCAGGCTCTCTTTATGTATGCTATAGGTGACTTGTGGCTGGCTGGCGCTTTGAATAGCTCCTACCAGCTCATTAGAGGGAAGTCTTGCCTTGACCTACATCACAGTTAAGCTGCATAAAGCCAAGAGAGGTACCTACCCAAATTTTTGTAAGAGTACCATGGAGGCTGTTAAAAAGGGTGAGCTTGGGATGCTTCAAATAGTGCTTCAAGGTAGACCTAAACAGAAAAACAACTGAGCTTAGTGAAGGTACTGACAATTAACACCACCATTAAGAACTTCTAGTTCATTCTGTAAATGAGAGCATTAACTCTTGTAACAGATTAAGGCCTGACAGCACTAATTTTTTTAAGCAGGCAAAGTTTCCATTGAAAGTATAGCTACTGAGAGATCACTTCACAGAGATAACATCCGTAAGAGTTGTGTTTGTGTGAGGATCACCTGATTAGGAACTGAATTGGTTCTGTTAATTCACCACCAGAAGCTGTACAAAACAACAACTGGAATTCAATACAGAGTGGCAAAACCAATACATAATTTATACCGATACACTTGGCTTGCACATTACCTGGCTGCAGGCAGCACTGAGGTAGGGAGCTAGCATTTAATGGGCAAAGTCCCTTCCTTCCATGCAGTCTGGTCACCCACCAGACCCATGGACACTGCACTGTGTCAGTCACAGCCCAGTGGGGAGGTCAGAGGATGGGAAAAACCATGGTGCAGCTCCTGCCCAAGGAGTGATGTGAAGAGCTGCTGGGTGGTTTCAGAGCGGCCAGCCACCCAAGCACTGTGCCCACCATGTGTGCGTTTGGCTGTGCTCACAGCTTTTGTGAAAACCACTCCACAGTCACATTGATAAGAAATGTTTTCTGTAAATAAATAAATAACGTTGAAGTAAAAACACTTCCAGGGTGGTTAATGAGCCTTGGAGTAAAGTTAGGCACGAATTTGCCCCTCCTTTTTGAAGTTAAGGAGATAATGCAATAAATGTTTTGTACTTTTTTCCATTAGGAACACTTCACAGTCATACAGGCATTTTTCTATAGTGGAAATTAGGACTTTGTTTAAATACAAGCTGTTTGTTGCTAAAGGATTTTGTTGCTTTTTTTTTCTCATCAACTTGAATGTGTGGGATTAAGGTCTGTAGAAAACACACTGAACTACCCTGCTTAGCTCTACCTCTTCTCTTGACTACTTAGATCCCTATGTGAAGATCCATCTGATGCAGAATGGTAAGAGGCTGAAGAAGAAAAAGACTACAATTAAAAAGAACACTCTGAATCCCTACTACAATGAGTCTTTCAGCTTTGAAGTACCATTCGAGCAAATTCAGGTAATGTCAGTGTTTTGTCTTCCCTCTGCATTCCGTTCCTCAGCCCTTATAAATACTTAACAGGAATCTGGTTAATTATCACGTGTGCATGCCTTCATTAGCACCTAGGTGCCAGCCCCATGCTACGTTAGATGAGTGTGACTGCTTCAAGAGGGAAATGATAAAATGTAAGGTACTTACAAAGCTTTGATTCATCAGTGAGAAATGGATAACTGACATTTTCTGTTAACATAAAATGGATTCTGGAAAAAAAAAATTTACAGGGAGATAGTGAATGAATGTGCCAGCAAAAAAGGCACAGGGCTAAAGGAAAAGGTATATATATAGCAATTCCCCCCAGATTATTTGAAATAATAAATTGGCATCATCAGCTAAATTTGTGTTCCCTATGCATTTATCAGTCCTGTTTACTAAAAGTACTGCAGTGTCTCTCTTAACTTAAGTAAAACACAGTTTATTTAATCACAGCTTTTTTTCAGTTATTCACCACACCATGAAGACTTTTTCAGTGATGCCTGTGTCCATTGGAAACAGACATTTGAGAATCTCAGGGGTCAGTACTAGAGGACCTGCTCTCTTGGCACTGCAGGGTACAACAGCAGTTGTCCAGGTACTACTGCTGGAGAGTTCAGTGACTAAAATTAGGGGCCTCAGAAGTGACCACAGTGAGTTGGAAGTCACCTACGTTAGCAGTGGGAAATACCAGGACAAAGCATTGCGTCACTGTTTTCAGGGACTCAGTTACCTGCCTTTGGAACAGTGGGAGGTAAAGCATCTCTCACTTATCAGAGTGAGATTTAACAACCTCTGATATTAACTAGCCTCTCTCACAAGAGATAAGCTCTTCTTAACAGTCTCAGGAGGCATGTGGGAAACCTGCGTCCAAATCACTCTCCCCCCTAAAGGAATTTAAACCTGTATCTAATGTCAATGTCATAAGCAAATACTCTTGTCCATAATTAAAATGGCCATGGAACACATCCTTTAGTGGCTTTAGAGAAGTCTAGGTATGAGTTAGGTGCCATGCTACTTGTAGTTTAAATGTTTAAATGGATTTAAATGGCCTGTAGCAAATGGGGTCGCCTTCTTGATTAGATGAGAACATGTTTTGAGATGAGAGACTTTTGAAGCTCTTATCTTGGATTTTGATAGCAACTGTACTAGAGAAATGCGCAGGAGCCAAGGCCTACATTTAAGCTGTGTGCTTGGTTTTTGTTGACTTGGTACCAATAAAGATAGTAAAACTGACAAGGTGAGTAGGACTTGAATGCATGACTAGCCCATTTATTGTTTCTACACGCCCCACATCATGTACAGCTGCCTCTGGACCCTAGGAATCAAAAAGTGGGAAATCCAGTGGGGCCTAATTCCCATTGATTTTAATGAAAGCTGGTCTGAGTGCTTGTGAAAGGTCTCATAACAAGCATCGAAGACCCAGAGGCAAAAAAAAAGTTAAGCAAATTGAGCCTCTCTGTCAATTTAGGCAATGAATGCCTTGATTTCCAAATAATAGGGAGAGGGCTCGGGACTACAATGGGCACCTCCAGGTTATCAGATCAGAGCTTTGGCATGGTTAGGTGCATTCTGTACGTCCTTGGCCATTTTGCCTTCTAACTCAGTTTTGTAAGGTGGATATAGGCCCTTTAAAAAGCATTGCAGTTTAGCTGTTTAAATTTTTGCTTCTTTAGAGGGAGGGATAGGTTTATTACAATGACTTTATAGCTATTTATTTCAGTATATAGCCTCAATTTAAAATCTTTAATTACGGACTTTGGTCGTATGCCAGCCTATTTTGGAGTTAAGTTATAAAGGACTGTATTTAGAAGTTATTTCATTATGGGTACTGAAGTGATTTCATCATTAGAAAAACGCATTTTAAATGTTATTTAGACTTAATATGGTAAGAATGGCTGTGAATTTTGTGTAATTCATGTAAAAGCCGTTAAGCAAACTTTTACAGTCAAATAAAAACTAATAGCTATAGAAGTTGCTTGATTCTTGGAGAGCAAAGACAAGGGAGTTCTTGGAGGGAAAGTAGCTCAGTAGCAGTACATCTGTGTAATTTAAAATGGGTCAAACATGAACTTTTCCAACAATTAAATAGTGATTATGGATTCTGGCTCTTAAGAGAAGGAAAGTGATAGTCTTTAAGTGCAATGGGAGAACACCACTTAGGAAGTCAATCCTGTTGCTACAAGGTATATCAAGCCCATGTTTTGCCGCATGTAAGACAGACCGTTTCTCTAGGCAGCAACATCCTCTAGGCCCTCTCAGTCCGAAGAATGCTTAATCACAGTGAGGAAACTGCTAATTCAAGTGTTTGTTAGCAGAGGTGGTGCTTCCTACTAGCACCTCTTGGGTTTTGCAGTGCAGTTGTGCCTTTAATATATGACACAAAGGCAAAGACACGCTCACGTATTTCTGTAGATTAAAGCCAGAGACCATGAAGTGGAAATCATCTCAGAGTTAATAACCTGAGCTAGCTGTTTTTTCATCTTTATAGAGCAAGGAAAAGGGTCTTTTGTTTACAGTGCTCGTTGTTGTAAAAAAAATCCAGTAGTAACTAGCCCCCAAGCTTCTAGGTACAGCTGGCAACATTTTCTTTGTACCATAATAGTCTCATGCTTACCTTTTATATCTGTGATTGTACCATGAATCTAAGACATAAATGTTCATTTGGGGAGGTACCATCCAACATTAGAAGTGAATGTATTGGAAACAGCAGCACAGAAACATGATTTTGGCATTTAGAAATATTTGCTTCAGGATATTGTGTTTTATCTCTGGGGAGAGAGAATCTTGAGTTTGATGTACACTTTTGTCATCAGCAACTGTATAAATAGTTTAGTGTCTGTTGAAATCATCTTTCTCTGGCTCAGTGAATTGTACAATCTTGTAAGGGAATGGCCTCTATAAAATAGACCTCATGAGCCTGGTCTTGCAGATATACTTAAAATAGTTACTTCTGAAAGATAATCCTATTGCAAGCACTGAGATTAATCATTCTAATAAGAAATCCAGATTATATATGTATTTAAAGCCTTAAACTTTAAAACCTGATGCTTGAAAAAAAAAAAAAAATTATGGAAGAAGTGTGTTTCAGGGCATTTTTTTCTCCACAAAATTCACACTATAATAAGGAGCTGTATTCGTTTGCCATGAGATAGAAAGGAATTGGGAAAAGAAACTATGTTCATCTTTAAAAATAAAGCTCCCTATAAAGAGGCATTTATAAATTAGTAAAATCAGCCCAAGGCTGTTATTATCTTAGGTGCTCTTGGGGATGAGCACCACTCCACTGAAGGAACAGTTGTTTGTGCTCTTTCAGCAAGTGTTAATGGCCTGAAGGAGAGGAATGTGTGCTTGTGCATGCAAATGTGTATACAGAAGCCTGGCTTGAACCTCACCTGCCAGTGTGCTGCAGTCTTAAGTGAAGGGAAAATTGTCTATCAACTGTGACAGATGGGCTCATGTGGATTCTATGGGACTAGTTTAACCCTGTTTGCCAGAGGTCACTGTTCCTACAGCAGAAGTGGCACTCCAGCACCAGCTCAATCAGAGGCAGCGCCAGTATGTCAGAGCCCGAAGACGGTGGGCTTTATACTTCTTCCCGGCTCCCCTGAGCATGTAGCCTGTTTTCTAGACTCCTTTATAAATAAATGTATACACACATATTTAGACATGTGCACATGCACACACAGAGATAAATGTGTGTGTGTGTGTAGTAACCATAAGGGCTATTTTCCAAATTTATCTGAAAGTAAGTGATTGTCATGCTGGATTAATGAGCAAGAGCTGTTCAGAAGCAGAAAAACAACAGAACAGAGTACAGCATTGCAAACATTAACTTGGGGTACAGCCATTTCTGAATTTTGGCTAGCTTATTCACTTAAACAGCAATGTGTTAAATTGCACTACTTTTGATAAGCATATCTCCGTTTTAGCCCTACAGACTTCTAGCAGTCTAAGTCCTCAATAATAGCAACAAAAAAATCTGGTGCCCTGTTAAAGATAAAAATCAACCTGAATTACCATATGAAGCTCTTTGATGCAAGGGGGCAAGTTTCAAGTTAACAGGGAGGATGTGAATGTAATTTTATTTGGAAGTCTTATGAGAAGCAAAGTTCAAAAGTTTGAATTTGATTCTTGTGGGAAGAATCTTGCCATTGCCTGTCCCAAGAGTCATCCCTGCCCACCTTCCCTTTATTGTCATGCTAACTGGTCTTTCTCTATCTCATTGTAGAAAGTGCAGATTGTTGTGACTGTTTTGGACTATGACAAGATTGGCAAGAACGATGCCATCGGGAAAGTCTTTGTGGGCTACAACAGCACCGGAGCGGAGCTGCGGCATTGGTCAGACATGTTGGCCAACCCCCGGCGGCCCATCGCACAGTGGCACACCTTACAGCCCGAGGAGGAGGTAGATGCCATGCTGGCAGTCAAGAAGTAAATTAAATTAAATTAAATTAAAGTAGGAAGAAGAAAATGAAGAAGAAGCCTTTCTGCATTTGCCCACATAGTGCTCTTTAGCCAGTATCTGTAAATACCTCAGTAATATGGGTCCTTTCATTTCCAGCCATGTGTTCCTGACACAGATCAGTTGTACTTTTAAATGCCCGTTTTAATTTGCACAAATTTAAATGTAGAGAGCCCTCTAAAGGCGCTTCATTTCACCACTGCTCCCCAGATCTACTCTTCTTTTAAGCAATATGATGTGTAGATAGAGCATGACAGAAATTATTTATTGTATCACACAGTTGTATATATACACCAGTATGCTGAGAATTTATTTCTAGTTTGTGTATTTGTATGTTGTAAGCGTTTCCTAATCTGTGTATATCTAGATGTTTTTAATAAGATGTTCTATTTTAAATTATGTAAATTGATTGAGATATAGGAGAGCTGATAATATATTATAGGGTAACTACTGTATCGTCTGCATTCCAGAAAAAAAAACAAAAATCCAACTTGTAAGGCACTAGTAGTGTTACACTGACATCTTAAAGGACAACTTAAATCTGATCTTTCAACTGGACCATCCTAATAACACGCTACGCGTCCACAGTGAATCTTGGAGGGGCAAATCCAATTGGGTAGACTTCTTTCACAGGCAACTTAGCATGATCTGAGCAGCTCCATGGCTGACTTCAAGAAGATGTAGCCAGGATATGATTCCTTTGTATATATTCCAAAGCAAACACAGACTGGAATGGCTTTAGAGTGAAAGTTGGGGAAGCAGTTCCACAGGAGGCAATGATTTCGTCTGTCATACGAAGTAAGACCATTGCAGGGAAGGGAAGAAGAAAGGAGGGAGACACAGCAGTAGCAAAATGCTGCCATGAAAACAAGAGTAGCTCTCCATTATCACCTTTATACAAAATTTGCATACTGTGAATTCCATCACATTATAATGAGTTTGCACATTAGACTTTGTAACAAAATATTTTATTATACTAACTCAGATTAGAAGGAATGCAGAATATTTTTTAGACACAGCCGTGTGAGTTTATTATACAAAATAGTTTCATGGTAAACAGACAGTATTGTAATCCCATCAGAAGATGACAAAATTTAGCCATAGTTCTAAATGCACTTCAAAGTAAGCCAAAAGAGAACAGCTAGCGACCTTTTATATACTATTTATACTTAAGTTTTAATTTGTCCTTTAAAAAAAAAGTGAAAACAAAGAACAAGTTCTAGAAAACTGAAGCAACCTCTTCTGTATACTAGATGCTCGTTTCAGGAGGAGTTTTTAAATGTTTTCAATGTTACTATGTAGTAAATGGCACTATTATGAAGCTATTAGTCATTCCATAAAAGTCTTGAAAGACTGCTCTGTGTATCACTGTGACTGCCGTGTGTGCTTAGAAATGTAGTTTTCTCAGTGGATAGCAATCAATTTATTCTGTAGTGATATTGTAATAATACTGCCATTCCCTTCTACTGCACTGCCGAAGGAACGCATAGCACAAGCAGTTCTAGTTATTACGGACCAATTTAGAACTGGAGAGCTATGCAGGGGACAAGGATGCTATATTGAATGGGTTGACCACGCAGCATTTTGTCAAGCCCTGTGCAATACTCTACATTACATTTCCAATCACCCTCGCCCCCCCGCCCCACGCTTTACTGTTGATAGTTGATAGTCATCTTACAGCTAGCCAGCATGTCATCTCAGCTTGTACCATCTCATCAAGTCATTTAGGGCATCACTTCTATCTCATGTACCGTCCTTTGAGGCCCCTTGCTTATCTTTCCAAGCTGTGAATATATTTATAATGCTTTGAAGAGTTCATTATTTTCAGCAATGCAAACTACCCCAGAAATATGGAAATGCTGTTGCCTTTTGGAGGGAGGCACGAGAATTAACCATTAATGTTCTTACCAACCGAATCCGACAGAAATTATTGCAAACAAAGAACAAAGATGAATGTAATCAGAGAATTGTGTACTGAAAACTAGACTCCAGCCTCCCTCAAGGCTCTGCTTCTGGGAGGGGTGGGACAGTCTGAGAGGTCAGTGCAGTGATGGCCAAGCACCAGTGTTTTCGGTACACTGAGGGCAAAAGAACCAGCAAAGAAGTGGAAGAATAAAAGTGGATCTCTCCCCACCTCCAAAAGTGAGAAAAGCAAGACCCATTTTCTTTGTTTTTTTACATGAAACACAGAAAAAACACAAGCGAGACATTTTCTGATAGAAACAGGCGCATACATGCAAAGCATCAAGCTGGAATACTTTAAAATCTGAACCTTAAGGACCAAACCCCACCAAAGAGAAGAAGTAGACAGTCAGCTTCCCAGCATAAGAGCTTCATGGTCTCCAACTTTCAGTTATTCATTCAGGATAGCCGCAGGTTCAAACTGCCAGGACTGACTCATTGTGTTAAGGTGTTCTTAAGGCTTTCTCTTCCTACACTGCCAGACTGAATGTCACCGTAAAACTGGTTTGTAAGGTACAATGATTCTCGGAGACTGAACCTGCCATGTGACCAAGATGACATTTTCATCCTCAAAGAAGCCACATGTACCTTTCTGACAAAGCTGTGTGAAGTATTAGAATCTGATGCTGTAGAAAGATCCTAGTTGCCTTTGTGTATATTTACTGCCTGCTTGAGTGTTTCTCTGTGTGGGTTTTCTCTGTATCTTGTAGAAATGTTTGGGGTGTTTTATCCTGCCATATCGCTCGTGGCCCGCGAGCTAACAACTTTAGCCGTATTTTACCTTCATTTTTGATGAGGTGGTTTATATTTTGTTTCACTTTGTGTAGTGACTTCCCACAGTAGAGTTTTCCAATTGTCGTTAAAATAACATACATATTACACAGATATTCAATAAAAATGTTTTATTTCCTGTTGATGTTCTAGTAGTCCTCTTTCTTTTGATCTCAACTCTTCAAAAGGCATTTATTTCAATCTAGGACTCTAACTTTTAAGTACCACAAGTGTAATAGCGCAGCACTTTTCAAGGAGCTGTGAAAAGCTGCTTTCATCAGTGTGGTCTACTCTAGGACAGTCACAGCCAGCAGAGCTCCAGTAGATGAATTCTCTACCTTGCCACCTCTATTGCAGATTAACTATTACCTTGGTTTCCCATAAATGTGATTATTTGCCTCCAAAAACATCAATCTCTAGCAAAACGCAGATTAGTTTCTACACCACAGCAGAAACTCCAAGTAGTTACCGGCGCATCCGTCCTCTTCAAGCCAATTGTGTTAGAGCAGTGTTTGAGGCTTTCATCTGGAAAGAGATGGTATATTTTAACCTACATTCAGGAGCTACTGCTAAGCTGGCCATAAAAATCAAGCTTCTTGTAGACTAAAGTTCATTAAATAAGAGCTTAAACTGTAGATGAGGGGGGAATAAGGTGTGGAAGTGAATCCACAAGGGAAAAATTGAAAAACATTGTGCTATGAAACAATTCAATTTGCTGAGCCTGTCAAGAGAAACAGCTAAAAATCAAACAAAACACACACACAAAAAAAACCCACCACATTTCCATAACCGTTTTCCACAGCAATCCCTCCTCAACAGAATTACGCTCAATCCTTCCAGCAGCTATGCAATGGCTTACTGATGTGCCCCAGCGTAACCTCAGCTGTTGTAACACAAGACCTTACTACGAGTTGGAGCTCATTGTAAATATTTTCAGTGTTGATCCTTTTCCCTATTCCCACTGCTCAGAAAGTGCCCTCTTTTCTCACATCTATTTTGGGTTTTTTTCAGCATCTAGAGTCAATGAGCACCAAACAGACTTATGCTGCTCTCCTCGAGTGAGAGCAAACCGACCTGTCCTGGTGGACCTGGTGATTTGGAGAGCAGTTATTCTTCCAGAACCGAATGACTGGAGTCTGTGGCTTCACAGATCAGCTGTGAGGTAATGCCTGCGGGGTCTGCGGGAGCTGAGATAACACTCCTGTGGTGCAGTACCATTCCCCATAGATACAGGCAGGTACCACGTTATGGAGGTTTGAGACGCTGCTGCTCCCTTCAAAGCTGGTGCATGAATACTTTCCTAAAAGGAGCAGTTTGTTTAACAGCAGACACAAATCTATCAAAGTCAATAAGTAAAAATACTTTGATCGAGGTTCTATACACATCAGCCATTTTTGCAGATATTGAGCATACAGAAATTACACCTTTGTCAATCAAAACCGGTACTTCCAATAAGGCTGATCAGTTAAAGCCATCATTACAACTAATGTAAGGAAAATGCTTCATATAATAGCTGTTATACTAAGTGGGAAAAGCAGCAAAAATTACATATTTTATTCAGCTCATTTAACCCCTAATCAACTGTCAAGAAAAACATTCTTCCCAACTGACAGTTACCAAAGCAAAGGATCTACATCTCTCGATCACTTTTCACATTGTGAGTCAATGGAGGTTAATTGCCTGTTAGATATGCAAAGCAAGAATTAAAACATTATGTTTTCTGATTAACAGTCAATTCCCTTATTTACTTATGCACTAACACTTTCACTCCAGGCTGCCAGTTCAGTTTCTTATACACATACTGACCTGCTTTTCAGAACATACATCTACCAAATTCATGACCCTATTTTCCGTGTTGGTTCAGACACTGTTACTCATCCAGGCATTAAAGAAGTATGGAAAACGGGGTTTCTATACACACCACAAGAATATTTACCCAGTCTTAGTTATCTTACATGTAGTAAATACTTTTATAGTCAATATAGAGAATACTTTTACTACTGCACCAGTAAGCAGTTCCAAATGTATGTGACAAACTAATACAGAGAAGACTTTAACTCTATGTGGTACTTTGTGACTGACACCTGCAGTAGGATTTTCAGACACGAGGCATACAGAGATTTATTTCAAGGTTACGCTGTATTTAACATCAAAATGAAAAGTTCTGCAAACTAAGGAATGATCTAAACATCCTTAACAGAGCTTATGAAGAGGCCAAGTAGGTGGGGAAGTGAAGACATTCTTCCAGGCTTCGGGGTAGAGGTGGAAGGGTCAGGTAGTACGAGTCCTTTTGTTCTATGCATGCACTCTGCAATACCATACTAGATCTTGAACAGCTATTTAGACCAAAAAAAAAACAACAAACCAAAATAAAGACTCATCTTCTGACAGATCCAGTCTCATCAGGCTGACAGCTCACATTTAGTTTCAGCTGACAGTTTCATATCTTTGTGCATTCCCTTATTATTTACAGCAAGGAAAGCGCACAGTAGGGATGCACTGCTGTTACACACCAAATAGAGCTGATGTTGGGTTTTCTCATAAACAAAAGACCAATGCACAAAAGTGGCAGAATATTCTCTGCTCAACTAATCAAGATTATTCCACAATCCTGCACAAACCTCCCTAATTTTGATCACATTCTCCCAGAACCCAGGGCCAGTTCTCTCCTTGTATTGCATTCACATACATTTACGTTAGCCTAGATTTTGTGACTCTTCCCTATGAAGCAGCAGCACCCACTGGCACCAAGAGGTTG